TTATTTAGAGTTCTAAAATCCAATGTATTGTAGTCATTTGGTAAATGTTGTATTTCATTATGCAGTGACCCATGTAAAGGCAATAATAGCTAATATCAGTTCTTACTAACTTCCAGGTACTATTCCTAGAACTCAAAAAGTATAACTCATTTGTTCCCTACATCAATGATCAATAATAATATTATTATTATTCCCATTTTAAAGACCAAGAAAGTGAGACACAAGAGTTAAGAAACTTGCCCAAGATCACGCTATCAGTAAGTGGCAGAGCCCAGATTCAAATCCAGGTAACGTGACTCTAAAGACTATTTCCAATTAGCATTCTGCTTTTAGCATCTCAGGTCTTCCTGTAGGATATTGTGTTTAGAGTATGCATTAAATAAACCTCTGAGGAACAAATGATTAATTTCAATATTTAGTACACACACAAAACTCTCATGCATACTTTATTTTCGTCATTGAAGTTATGACTCTCATTCATGAGTGTCCAAAGTAATTTTAATTGCTGGATAGAGGTAAACATTGCTTTCTATACCGATCTACCATTGCAATGGCTGAACAGACAAAGAAGTCATTATTTCACTTAAAAAAAAAAAGGAAAACATCAACATCTTTTTTACCTATTTAAAAAAAAGTAAAAAATAACACCAAAAAAGGTGATGAATAGCAAAATAGCATGTATCAGGCCAAGCTTCAGATCCAAGAGGACAACCATCCTTCCGCTCGTCCTCCCCAACCACAATCAGGTTCCTTCCTTACCCCATGCATGGCAGAGGACCCAGTTACTCTCTGTGGGCAGGTGAACACGTCTTCCTTTTCTACCCCTGAATCTACCCCTTCTAAGATGACTCAAGACTTATGCTCTTGTCACCAGCTCAAACTAAATGTGATGAAGACACAAGCTATGCATCTCATCTCTGTGGACTCTCTTTCAGGTCCCACTTCCTTGTAACGTGTCAACATCAAGATCTCTCCTACACTGCAAACCAGAAACCTAAGTCATCTCTGACTCATCTCTGCCCTTTCCTCAGCATACTCGATCCTGTGCTAATCCTGCCGTGGGTGTCATCGAATCGTTTCAAAATCCATTTTTTCTTTGCCATCCATGTTATACACCTTTCCATTTCTCCCTGGATAATTATGTCCATGCACACCTTCCCTGCTCTCACAGTGTCAGCCGTGAGACATCAGTGTCTCTTCCAATCTCCAAAAAATACCATCTCACTTTTCTAGGCCCTGCTTCCCATCACACAGCAATCAAACCCTGCGTCCTTACCCTCAGAAGGAAGATGATTATTATTTCTGTTCCTGGCCCACCCTCTGTAGACCTGGAATAGCCACAGTTACAGTCCCTTATTCCATCCTAAATAAAGTTATCTTGACTTGTGCTTGGTGTAAATGGGGTATTAGACTGCTTCTCTATTAGTATATTTTATGCTAAGGCCTGTTGATAGTTCACATTATTTTTAAGCATTGTTCTTGTGTCCTCTTGGAGGATACAGGCCATGTCTAGGCCTCTCTCAAGAGGCCTACTCAAGCACCATGAAGTTTCTTGTTTAGGAAGCACACTGAAATTAAAGAACAAAGAAAATGCATACACCTAGCATCCCAATTTAATTAAAAAGGAACATGACTAAAATATAGTACTCATAAAGATAACCTCCATGTGATGAGGTGTAAGACTTGGTCATTCAAATATAAGCTTTTATTTCTCAAAGCATAAAAATATCCACAAACATGTACTTGGATGCTTCTGCTTATCTCTTTTAACCTCCTTACATTTTTTTTTCTTTCTTTCTTTTTTTTTTTTTTTTTTGGTAGAAGAGCGAAAACCCTGCTTAGCATCTGGTTAACAGCCTTAATCATGGGGAGAAATGTCTGAGCTGGATATAGGTTGTCTTTCTGGTGGTTTTGAAGGCTCAGCCCACATTTCTAGGGGTGGCTCCTGCGGTTACTGAACCACATGAAGTTCTTTAGCTCTAGTGTTTCAGAGAAGTCTACACTCAAAGTCAGTCCTGAAACAGATGACTCTTATGTAATCTTAGACCAGTATTTATTAAGCTTTTTGGGCACAGACTTTTCTAAGAATCTAAAAAAAGTTAAAATGGCTCTCACCAGAAAAAATCAACAAATGTAGATGGCCCAAATTTTTGTATACAGTCTTAGGAGTCCACAGTCTATCTGAGGTCCATGAAGGAACGATAGGATAAGAACATCTGGCCATACACTGGCTCACACCTATAATCCTAACACTTTGGGAGGCTGAGGTGGGAGGATCGCTTGAGACTGGGAGTTCAAGACCAGCCTGGGCAACATAGTGAGACCTCATCTGTACAAAAAATTTTTAAAAATTAGCCAGGTGTGGTGGTGCTTGCCTATGGTCCTAGCTACTTGAGAAGTTGAGGCGGGAGGATTGCTTAAACCCAGGAGTCTGAGGTTGCAGTGAGATAGGATTGGCCACTGCACGCCAGCCTGGGCAACAGAGTGAGACCTTGTCTCTATTACAAAAAAAAAAAAAAAAGTACACCTACATGCCCTATGTAATTGCCTTGGGGGTCAGGTAGGGCAGTGGCAAGGGGGAGGGAAAGTTTGGGGGAGGGTAAGGAAAGGGGGAAGAAGGAGGAAGCAGGAGGAAAAAAAAGAGGAAAATCCTAATAAACTAGGAACAAGCTTCTACTTAACTGTGCGTTTTATCACTTTTTTTCAGGCTTAGAAGCAACTGCAGAAGAATTGTATTTAGTCTAAGTAAAATTGGACAGGGAGATGTGAGTCATTGGTTTTCCCGGGTACAGTGAAATATTCACTCCCTATCCATCACTAGACACAGGACTCCCAGTTTTGCTTAGGCTATTATCACAATGTAAGAGATAAAGAATATTAAATTTAATGCAAACAGCTATTTTTAAATGCTGCATATTTACGCATTGTCTAAAGAACAACCATCCTTCTCCATCAGAGTTGTTGTGTGCTTTGACCGAGCACTTGGACTCCCCCATGTCATCCTCCTATGAAAAAGGCATGTGCTGGACTAGGAATAGACAATAGAGTTTTAAAACTTACTGAAAGCACTAAAATAGCTGGTTATTCCTCTAGGAAAATATAACATAGAAAATTAAATTTAAAAAGTATATATACCTTGAGGAGTTTGGAAAATATAGCTTTTACCAATTAAAATATAGCTTTTAATTGGTGGACAGGTGGTCCCCGGGTTACAGGCTAAGATACATTCCTGAGAATGTCTTCAGGTTGGATTTGTATGTAACTCAGATCACTGATGCACAGCACACATATGATAATAATAATAAGACTATAATGGCTTATATGTGGTAATAATAATATAGTATAATACTGAAATATTAATAATAATACCCATGTACTGTAATAATAAGTTACAGTAACTATTGTGCTCTTTCTTTTAATTCAAACAAACAGAACATAAAAAACTCATATAAAAAGTTTAGCTATGAGATAGAAATTTCAAAAAAGAATATCAAAGGTTAACACTCGCCTAATGCTGCATGGACACTAGGCTGATAGGAATGCTACGCTTACTCTGATCTTCTAACCAAAGCAATAATAACCTTTCCATTTCAATAATTAATCCACTACACTGCTTAGTAATAATTGATGCTTTCATTGGAGGACTGCCTTTCACATATTCCATTATTCTCACTTATCCTTTGTAATTTGTTCTGATAGCCGAATGACTGAAGTCTAACGCTTTCCCAATAAATGACGGTGTCTGGCCTGTCTCCAAATGCTTAATTATTCCTATTTTCCTTTCCACTGTAATCACCGCTCTCTTCGCTGCAGGCTCACCTGGACTTGCAGTGGACTTTCGCTTTGGAGGCATGGTCAAAAGGGTAAACACAGACTCACAAAATCGACTAAAAAAGTTAAGATGAGAGTGATGCTGGCCTAAGCAACCACATCAACAATGAGACTAGTGTGAAGATGCTGCGACAACAAACCACTTACACCACGAGTCTGTTTACACGTGCGGAAGAAACTAGTTCCCGAATTATTACTTTGATTATTTAATTACAAATTGTCCCTGAGCGGAGCCTTGGGAGCCCACTGGTAAGTACGGAAGGAACACCGGAAGTCAGGTTGTCCAAAACCCAGAAACTGCCTATAATGGTCAAAACATCTTAACGTCTCTAAGGCCAGAAAAATGAGACCTCCACCAATACCATACTCACGGCATTGACGATGGGCATGAAAGGGTAACCAGCAAGAGAATCTAGGAATGTCCACCAAGATCCCAGAATATAGGATCAATGGAACATGCTGGAAGTGGGTTAGGTAAGAGGATGCTCAAGAAGCCTCTGTAGGCCAGGCGCGGTGGCTCACGCCTGTAATCCTAGCACTCTGGAAGGCCGAGGCAGGTGGATCACTCAAGGTCAGGAGTTCGAGACCAGCCTGAGCAAGAGCGAGACCCAGTCTCTACTAAAAAATAGAAAGAAATGATCTGGACAACTAAAAATACATACAGAGAGAAAAAATTAGCCGGGCATGGTGGCACATGCCTGTAGTCAGCTAGGCTGACGCCACGGCACTCACTCTAGCCCGGGCAACAAAGCGAGACTCTGTCTCAAACAAAAAAAAAAAGAAGCTTCTGTAGAGAAAAGTGGTCATAAAACTTTTTCTCAGAAAAAATGACATGACTTCTTGAAACAACGGACTCACTGGACTGGCGGGGATCATCAGCCAGGCAGGCCAGCCTGACTTGCAATAGGCTGCTTCGCTGCCCAAGCCACAGGGTCAAAGAAAGTAATGACTATCGCTCAGTTATAGCAAGGTCCCGGGGGACAGTCTGGTGTAGAGAGGTATGTCCTGTGCCTCGTTGCATTTCCCCACTGCCCAAGCACAACGCCTTACACACCGTCGGTATTTGGCTAAAATGGGTGCTGACAGTAACACGATATACATCCAACACTCTCAAGGAGCTCAGAGTCAAAGGTAACAAGGCCCTAGTGTTTCCCCTGTTCTCAGTTTACCATCATTGAAGCTGTCACTGGTGGTGACATGGGTGAACGGTGACTGGGCCCGAGGCTCTTCGCACAGGGAGTAGCTGTGCTCAGCCTGGATGAGAGGCGCTGGGGACGTAGGGGACGGCTCCACCTCCATCGACACGCTCTTCTCTGAGAGGAAAGGGTCATTCAGGAGCTGACCCAAGACGTTCTGGGAAAACTCATCCAGAAGTTCTGAGAAGTGCTACAAGAAACAAAGGAGGAAGAACTCAGTTTCTCTGAACCATGATCTGACATTTACACACATATCCCAAGGCAAATACGTCATCCACTGTGAAGTCTCTTATGTACAATATCCAGTCTCATCATATGAAGTCTCTTAATGTACAATATCCAGTTATCTAGTGCTGTGTAGCAAAACACCCCAACGTTCAGTGGCTTAAAATTATCACAATTTATTATTTCTCCCTCTTCAGTGGGTTGGTGGGGTTGGTGAGCTGACCTGGGCTCCCTCACATGGCTGCACTGTGCGGGCAGATTGGCTGCGGCTGTGCGGGGCTGGGACCCTGGACGCCTGGGCCTTTCTCAAGGAGGCTAATCAGGCTGGGCTTCCTCACACAATGGCAGAAATGTTCCGCAAAAGAGAAAACCAAAGCCGAATGGCCTCAGAAGTCACACAACAGTATACCCTCCACATGCTTTTGGTCAAGGCAAGTGACAAGGCCAGCCCAGATTCACGGGAGGAGCAACAGACTCCACCTCTTGATGAGAGGAACAGCAGAATCACCTCGCCGATGAGTGTGGATGGGAGGTGGTGTGATTCACTGGGGGTCATTACTGTGATGGCCTACACATTTTGCATTGGCAATATTTTTAAATCAGCCATCCTGCACTTCTATAGTATGAGGGTGCCAAGTTCAAAGGCATTAGAGGCAACTTCTCTCTATTCTCCCCACTGCCTGGGCTGTTTTCCTCTCCAGGTTTTCCCTGATCTCTTCCGTCCTCCATCTCTGATACCATGAACTTTCCAGCCCACACCATGCCATGGACATGACGTAGGAATATTCCCTGGGATTCCTATTAATATATCCCTCGTTGCGCACTGTTCCACTCTAAAGGAGCTGCAGGTCCATCTACTTTCCCTGCTCGATAGGGGTGTAGTCATGGTATGAGGATCTGCAGAGCAGAGTTTCTCAGCCTTGGCACTATTAATATTTTGGACTGGATAATTCTTCGTGAAGGGCAGGGGGTGGGTGGGAGGGTAAGGGGACTGTTCTGTACATTCTAGGATATTTAGCAGCATCCCTGGCCTCTACCCACTAGATGCTGGTAACACTTCCCCAGCTGTGAAACCAAAAATGTTTCCAGACACTGCCAAATGTCCCTAGGGGGAAAAAAAAAATCACCCCTGGTTTAGAATTATTGCTATTATTAGAAACAATAATAATAATGAAATGAAATTTAAAAGTCCACTTTGGGACCAGCTATTAGAACCACTTGTGCGTCCTTAAATGTTCCTTGAGTCACAGACCAACAAGTGTCATTGTTATTGATTAAACTTGGGGACACTTGTTGTACAGAAACCAAGTTAAGAAAGCAGATACAGCAATAAGAGAACGGATTGCAAACAGGGAGGCTTGGGGGTAGGCAAGGAGAATTCCTGGGATTCACATGGACACCTAAGTCCACCACTGAAATGGAAGTGTCAGTGAAGAAGCTATGAAAATGAACGCAGAAGGGGAAGGAGGGAGATGGCCCTAGAGCTGGAGCTCTGAGATTAGGGTAGTTGCAGGACAGGAAGCCTCCTTTAACAAAGGAGAGCAGGAGACAACAGAGAGGAGGCCCTTGCAGGTTAGGTTCCTGAAGAGTCAGAACAGGGATTCATTGACATCACAAGCATGGGACATGGCTACATCTCATCAGGACAGAATGCCAGGAAGCCATCGGCCGTGGACACTGCCTATGAGGCATGCTTGCCTGTGAGAACAAGAGAGGGTGGTTGGGAGGCAGTTCTCTGAGTACACAAACATTTAGAACTGGAAGGTCCTTAGGAATATCTAAGGCAATAATTCCCACATGCCAATGGCCTGCATCACAATTACCAGGGGAGTTTTGTGTTAGTCATTTTATAATGAAATATTTTAAGCATTTAGAAAAAGCATATACGAGGGCTGTCGGAAAGTATCCAGCCATGTTAATATAATAAGAACGGTTGCATGGCTGGATACTTTCCAGACGGCCCTTTATATATATACGTATTTATATATATATATAAAATGAATGATTATGTAGTCATTCCTTTAAAAAAAAATCTTTTATGTATTTGCTGCTGCAACCTTATTTTTTTGGCTTTTTTCTTGCTTTCTTTTTTTTTTAAGAAATAAATCCTGAAGGACCATTAAAGCTCCCATCCCTTCCATCCATTCCCTTATCCCTCTCAAAGTCAACCACAAGCCAGAACCTGGTGTTTATCATTCTCATCCAGGTCTTTTTTTCTTTTACTACATATGCATGTTTCCATTACATATATGACTCTTTTAAACTTTCAATAAATAGCACCATACCTCATACATCCTTCTGCAACTTTCTTTTACAAAAAATTTTAGATTTATTCATGTTTATACGTGTAGCTCTATTTCACTGATTCAAACATCTGAATTGTATCTCACTGTATTAATCCAATTCCTCTTGAGGAACATTTAAGGGCTTCTTTTTATTACATGCTATATTGTAATAAACATTTTTTAACATGAAGGGAACTTTTAAAAACATACAAATTCTATGACCCACCCTCAGAGATGATGACACAGTAGGTCAAAGGCACCTATGTTAGCACCACCACCCCACCTGTGATTCTAGGCGCTCTCCGCTTTCTCCATCACTGAAGGTCAAGTCCATTTCCACTCGCCATCTCTCTCCCTCACCACTTTACAGTTAAGTCCCTAGAAGTTTACAAAGTTCCTGTAAGTTCAGATATGCCTAAGGTCAGAGGACGATTCAAGGATTTTTGCAACTACCATATGCTAAATTTTAGATAGCGGATAAAAAATAATAAATAAGAAAATGGAAATAGCCCATGCCTTCCCAGAGTTTACCACAGGCCGGTGCTTCTCAAACTTTTATGTGCATATGAAATTACCTGGGGATTTTAAGATATAGATTCTGATTCTGATTCGCAGGTCTAAGTGAGGCCCAAGATTCTGCATTTCTAACCAGCTCCCAGGATGCTGCTGCTCCACGCACCATACTTGGCAGCAAGGAGCCGAACAGCAGCAAGGCTAAGATTAGAACCAGATTTCCTGATTGTACGATAACCTGAAGTCAGCGCCTAATTCCCTAAGTAGCTCCCCAAGGACAAATTCACTGGTTGCCTGATGGTGATATTCTGCAACTATTTGACAGAGTTCCTTTCAAGACCAAAATTAAGGTAACAAAAACAGAAATAAATAACAGAAAATGTAAAATACAAATGCAAGAGTAAAGCTCACAGTCCCTGCATCTCCAAGCCACAATTCTGTTGTGAACTACAAAGTCAACTCTGGCCAGCTGCGCTGGCTCGCTGAAGCTCTAAAATCCCATTCTGTCCTAGGCAAGGCTCTCTTTGATGGCCTGTGCTTTCCCATGGAGGTTGTCCAGGTTGGCCTACTCTGCTGACACTCCATTTTCTTTCTCCTGAGCAGCACTAATGAATGTTTTCATGAACATCCCCTGGATAAGCAATAATAAACTCTCTAGCTCTGTTAACCTTTCATGAACTCCCTCCACTTTGGATTATGTAGTAATTATCATGTTACCAAACAATTTAGCCCTAATGATAGGTAGTTTTGAAGAATTCACAGTTGTTATCAAGTGCATATCATAACCTTCCTTCTGGAAAAAGATCCTCTTCGGAAGCCTAACTGTGCCTAACCACCCTCCCACTCCCACACCTAGGAACTTAACAAAGTTGGAGAGCACTCAGAAGGTTCAGAGAGACACTTTTGATGGAAAAGATATGCCCAACCAGTCCCACCCAGATGCTATGACTCAGCCCAGAAAATTAGTTCCATTTGGCTCTCCTTGGCAGCTGTGGGCTCCAGGGCACAGCAGACAGGTCAACCTCCCACTGCTGGTGCAAGGATCCGGCCAGAATGGGCCCATCATTCATGCCAGCCAATTACAAAGGGGAATACAGTCCTGGAGGCCAAAAACCAGAAAAAGGAGCAAAGTGAGCCTCCAAGAGGGAGCCTTTCTGGATCCTGCAGACAGTTTAGTAAAGTACTACTCATGTGAACCCAAGGGTTAGGGAATTTTAGCTTAATTCTTTCAAAGACAATGGCATAATAACAGTTTATAATACCATTCTGCCTAATATTTTAATCAAGCTTTATAAGCTTACAAAGTACTTTCCATAGCCTTTTCCTCGCTTAGTGCTCACAACAATCCTGTGATGTTGGCTTAAAACACATTGTCCAAGATCTCTATCACCTACTGAGAGACTTTGAACTAGGGTCCTCTTATTTCAAATTGACTGAACTTTTCCCACATTGTTTCTCCTAGGAAAGAGGTATTTGAGCCTCACAATCGAACTGCACAGAGAGGTTCTAACAAGTCTAAAACCAGGATGATGGTGATCATTGACGATGATGTTGACAGGATTAGCTGCTAGGATGGTCCAAAGGTAGGTCTTGCAAAGAGAGGACTGTCGTGAGGTGGGAAATGGGTGTCTTGCAAAGAGAGGACTGTCCTGAGGTGGGAAATGGGTTATCCCGAAAGTATGTCCTATGCCCCATCGTCCAAAGTGCTCATAGAGCATGGGCTAAAACAGTTTGCCATCCCCTAGTTGGTCAAAAGGGCCCCTTTTGTGCACAGGTCAACAGAAGACTGTGGGACTAGACCTGGTAAGGACCCGGGTCCTAGTTCCAGCCCTGCACTTCACTGGTGGTTACTCCAACTCGTGTGTGTATGTGTGTATGTGTGTGTGCGCGCTGGGGGTGATGGAGTACACTTTAGACTTCGACAGTAGTTTGTCACACTTTTTTTGATTCGCTGGGCCCTTTGGGGAATCCAATGAATGTTCTGGACTGTCCTGCTCAAGCAATGCCCAAAACCGCATACACACAAACGCAGCCAGCGATTTCGGGAGGCCCACTCGCCCCTGAATTCTGTCCACAGATGGGAGGGGGATTCCCTGGGCCCCGAGTTAAACACTGCCAGCAGAGAAAGTAGTAATAACACACGAATATTTATAGGTCATTGCTAACA